TTATTTATTTATTTATTTATTTATTTATTTATTTATTTATTTATTTATTTATTTCAGGGTCTGGTTGGTGCAAATGGAATGGCTGGAGAAAACGGACCGTCAGGACCGAAAGTGAGTCTGACTCTGGAAGTTCAGGAGAACCGCTGAAATATTTTTTGCAGCTCACACAACCAGAGAAAACAACAAACAACAAAAAGACTGACACATAAAAAAAAACATAACTTTAATGAAGTTGGTTGAACACACATATATTTCTTTAACCTTTTTTTGTTAGTAGGAAGAAAAACATTCCAGGTCAAAATTTGGTAACTTTTCCTTTTAAAGTGACATGTGTATCCTTCAAATACAAAAAGTCAAAGGAAACATTTTAATATATAAGAAAATTGGCATTTGTCACAAAACTGGCATAATTTTTATTTTACTCAGCTAAAGTTGAACAGGAAGTGACATCAATGGGGAACTCTTAATGAAAGAAAATGCTCTGATCTTTGTTTATTAAAACAATATCATTTAAACTCTGACTTTTCTTCATCTCTATCTGACAGTGACTCAAAATAATCTAAAAAAAAACACTGGACTCTTCTGTACAGTCTGTGTTGTTAGCCATTTTAGCAATGCTCTGTTCACAAGCAGACATTCCCCTTTGACATCACTTCCTGTTATTGCACATGCAAATATCTCAACAACTGTATGTTTTCAGTAGTATCTTTCAAAAAATGCATTCATATATATAACAAAAATATGTTGTCACAGGCACTTTAAACTTGGGTAGAAAACCTGTTTGAAATAATCATCTCAACATTCAATACACATCTCCAGTGTGACACATGTAAAACCTAAAGAAGAAGAGGGTCAAGGTCCTCTGAGGGAACAAAAAATTATATTCAGCTGTGACAAATAAATATTTGTTGATCTGGCATTTTTCACAGGGATTTCCTGGGAAAACTGGGTTTTCTGGCATCCAGGGGCCTGTAGGGAAGAGTGTGAGTGTTTAATACATTTTTCATTGTAGTAAATTCAATTAGACAAAGGTTTCTGATTTTTTTCGTACCTTTTTTGTATTAACTTTCAGGGAGATCCTGGAAATAGTGGACTGAAGGGTAAACCAGGAAAAGCAGGGGACAGAGTGAGTTATGATCACCCTCGTCAGGCTCTTGTAGTTGCTTTAGGTTGGAAAACACATCCAACACAAAGACAAGATATTAGTGTATTACTGGTTTTCTTTAGGGGTTTGAAGGTAAACAAGGATCCTGTGGACTCGGAGGCAGTGAGGGATTAAAGGTACAGACTGTAGCAACTTATTTACTGGTAATAAATTTACTTCAGTCAGTGTAATGTTGTGTCAGGTTGGTTTTACTCATCAAATGTTGTCAAACTAAATTTGTCAAGGGCAAAAGAGGTGAGGAAGGACCAAGAGGAAATCAAGGCCCTCCAGTGAGTAATTTTAAAATTTCATGCAAAGATGTTTTCAGTCCTTCATTTTAAAAAAACAAAAAAATGTACATTTTTTTCTCTTATTTGTGACTCACTTTAGGGTGAAACAGGAGCCCCTGGACCGAAAGGATACAGAGGACCTCCTGTAAGATGATTTCAGTATTTCAACTGGCCATCTGTTTGCAGCATTAATTTGGATATTATGGAAATTAATTTTCCAATATGGCTTCACAGTGTTCTACCTATAATAAATTCATTTTCAACATTTATTTTTCAGAGTTTTTGCATTTATAAATCCAAAGATCATTTTTTGTTTGTATTATTTTTGTTCCCTTTTCACACTCAAAGGTAATAAAACAGTGATCTTGTCAGTAAATGGAAAAACACTTGAAAAAAGTGATTAAGAGTCAAAGCAACTGCAAGAAAACAACTTTTGGTATATAGATATAAGAAAAATAATCAAAGAAATTAAATTTTTCCTGGTAATCTTTGTACAGACGTTGCCAATGTAGGTCTAGGACTGAGATTTTATAGGATGGTTTCATGCAAACAAACATTTTATAACACTCAAATGTACTTAAAAAAGTTACGTGTTATGTTTAGTTCCTGTGTCTGTGAATGCATTTTCTCTTGCAGGGTATCCAGGGTAACATCGGACCTTGGGGTGAGATTGGACCACGTGGTCCTAAAGGAGACAAAGGACTGCAAGGTTCAGCTGGGCCCCATGGAGCCACAGGTTATCCTGTAGGTTCAGTTTTCTGTTGTTGTCAAACAGAAACTATTTGAAATTTTTCACTTCAGCTGATATGATCACTTTCAGTCTGACTGGTCAGGATTAAAGGAAGCAAAAGATTAAATTAGTTAACCCCAGATTATTTGGATGATTTGGATTAAGTTTGAATGTGATTAATCTCTGAGTTATCTTTGTAATTCTCTGGTAAACTGGCCTGAACACACTAACCTGTGCAAAGAGCACTTGCTCAGTTGTCCTCAGTTGCCCTTTTCCTCTGTAGAACCTAAACTTTCATCATGAAAGAGCTCCAACTTTTTTTTGAACACTTAATTACTGTTGAGCATTGCTAATCTGCTGGTTGACAACATTCCTCGTGACATCTGACAGACTGATCCTAATCTAAAACACAAAGTTTCTTTTATTCCAGCTTGTCACAGTATTTTAGTGTTTTTTCCTGGGTTGGTCACCAGATCAAGGGTTTGGTGTCAGACTGGTGACCTCAAGTGTTCATCTGGTCTGTCTGGAGTTTTTGGGGAAACTTCTGTCATCAAAAGAGCATTGGGTTCAACCAGAAATCATCTGTTTTGCTAGACAAAAACTATTTACAATCATATGTTTCCACGTAGGGTAAAGATGGAGCTCCAGGACCAACTGGATCAGCTGGTCTTAAAGGCGACAAGGTCAAGATCTTCTTTTGTGACTCTCTGATCATTTAGTTGTGCTTTTTTTTTTGTCCATTTGCTCTAAATAAATAAATATTACAAAAACAAGACTATGAGGTGATTTCAGAAATCAGTGACCCAAATCTCAGTCATCCTTGTACCGCCTGACCTGTTGTGTCCTCAGGGATCCACAGGAGCTACGGGGCAGGAGGGAGCTGCTGGTCTCGATGGTGAGGAGGTAGATTGATTAGACTGTGTCGATCACAACTCAGATTTTTTTAAATCAGTTTTTGTCTAAGGAATTTTAAAAGCAGTAAAACATGTTCCAAAGCAGGTTGTAGTAACACTGAGGCCCTGAAAGTCTAAAATCTGCTGTTGTAAAAGTTTAATGTTCATTCTGATGATAAAAAGCAGCTTCTTTTGTGTTTAGGGTCAAATTGGACTACGAGGGCTTGAAGGGCCAACGGGCCTAAAAGCCACACCTGTGAGTACATTTATATTTCATGTTGCTTACAAATTTGTTGCATTTTTGTTGTTTTTATTTATTTATTAATATTTTTGGCACATATCTTGGCATTTCTGTGCTACTTCAACAATTTATATGTCACAATGTTCAGCTCCTTGAGATTTTGGTTATATGTGACCTTTGGTATTTCAGCAATTTATACATAATATGCAGCTTTTTCTGACATTTTGATTCTCATTGAAAATGAATGAAGCTGTCTTCATCATCAAGGCCTTTTAAAATGTTTATAAAATATTTACTGTACTTTTTTCCTTTCGTGCTGCTTCTGCTTTATTTACTTTGCACTAATCTGTTTTGCTGTTTTTAGCTTATTTTTTGTTTTGCTTTTTAAACTAAAATTTTGACCTTTTCTGCTATTCTTCTGCTAATTTTAACTTTTTATGCTTCTTTCAGCTGCTTTCTTCTAATTTCAATTTTTTGTGTGTTTTTAGTAACTTTTTAGATATTTTGAGCTTTTTTTTTTTTTAGCTAAATTCAACTTCAGCTTCTTACTGCTCAATTCAGATGCTCTTTCTGTTTCTTGGTTTCTGATACTTTTTAAGCTGTTTTTATATTATTTTTATTTATTTATTCATTGGTAAACTGAGGGCCGTTATTTGAACTTTCAGGGCAATAACGGAAACGTTGGCCTTTCTGGGCAGAAAGGACTTAAAGGAGATGAAGGCGACACGGGGAGTCATGGGTCACAAGGCCCCAAGGGGCCCCCAGGGAAACAGGTTGGAGGGAAAAAGAGATTTTTGAAGCAGAGCTTACGTCAACGAATTTAATATTAAATATTATTGAATTGTTCAAATTTGAGATGTTGGAATTAAAATTTTCTTCAATTCTGTGTTTACTATCTTTTCACAGGGGGACTGGGGACCCCCAGGAGAGAGAGGAGAACAAGGGCCTCCAGGGTTAAAGGTCAGTCTTGGATGTGTCACCTAATTATGTTTAGAAAAGCACTGTTAAACATTTGAGACCTAATATTAAAGCTGTCGACATATCTGCAGGGTGAGTCTGGCCTCAGAGGTTTATCAGGCCAGCCTGGACAGTTTGGACCTGGAGGTGACACTGGGCCAGGAGCAGCCAAAGGCCCGAAGGGCCATCGAGGAAACAAAGTATGAATTTTCATGATATAAATAACATTATAGAGCAGCAACAATTCCCAAAAATTCTGTCTCTCAGAACAAAAAGTATAAGCATTATTGAGTCGCTAGAAAATAAAACTTTTTTTTTCTATTGCAGGGGCCTCCTGGTGGCACCGGCCCTCCTGGACAAACTGGACAATCACTGCCTGTGTGTTACCTCAGTGTACTTTATAATGAACGCTTCATAGATCACAATAACAATATCAAAAATATAACGTAGCCAACTAAATACTAAACATACTAAATATTTTATTTACCGGTATATATTTAATATATTGTGTAAGTGCAATGTCTGGCTCTTTGACACAAACACAGGTCTTTTTCTGCAATAGGTAATAGAGGGTATTTTTCTTTTTTCTTTTATCCTTTTTTTCTTCAACATCACCTTTACAAATTTAAGTGCTGTAAAAAAATCAGATACCATTTAAAATCTTTGGGGAATGTAATTTCTCATTTTAGTACAGCTCATAAAAACTTGTCAAACAAAACTAAAAACTTTGTTCTGTATCTCTAGATTACTGCTTTACAATGGTATTATCCTAATTTCCTGTTAATTGACTTTGAAAAAAATATACTTTAAGAAGATAAAAAATACAAATTCTATAAGATACTTTTAAAAGTTTACAACACTATTCAGCTAGAGAAACACAGGGATATGTTTAAAACTACTTTGCTGTTTTTACATCCACACATGTAAAAGACTGACTTGTTTATAATATTGTATGTTCTAAGTCAAATTATTTATGTGTTCAGGGTTTTCCGGGTCTGAAAGGCAATGAGGGCAAACCAGGAAACCCTGGACCAAAGGTTTCTAATGCCATTTATTTTTGATAAAAGGTCTAAATGGAGATTTTTAAAGTTTGTGTATGAATCTACTGCTCTGTGACCAATTCTGCTCTTTTTGTAATTCAGGGCCGTCATGGTGAGAAAGGCCTGACTGGTCCTTCAGGCATTAAAGGAAACATGGTGAGATTTAATGACGTGGCGATTTTTTTCTTTGGTAAAACATTTTATTTCATGATCTGCTTGGAGATATAAGCATAATGTGTGTGTTTGTGTACTTACAAGGGTGTACAAGGACAAAAAGGGGCAAAAGGGGAAACTGGGACACAAGGCAAACTGGTACAGAAAATTATAATAATACATTGTTTTTACTTTTAACTTACAATTTATTGTGATAATTGTCAAAATAAATAATAATGTAAAAGTTTTTAGACTAGAAGTGTTCTGTATTAATCAGTTGTATTCTTTATAATATATGGTATAGCTGAATATATTTTAATGTAATTAGGGCTCAGTGGGAAAGGTGGGGTTCACTGGGCCTCCAGGTGCTAAAGGTCCACTCGGACCTGCTGGTCCTCCTGGTTTTCCAGGAACCAAAGGAATTCAAGGACCAAAGGTAAAAGTAAATAAGTTTGTTTCAAAACTAATGTTTTGAACATTAAACAGTTGCCTCAACTTTCTAGTGTTCACTTGTACATTTTGGAGTTTATATTTATTTGGAAACTAAGAATTTTAACATCCTGGTCTACTTTTTAAAGGGGGATAAAGGCCAACCTGGAGGGAAAGGAATCAAAGGAACTACTGGAAGAAATGTGAGTGTTATTTTAAAATGAAACATATGGCTCTGATGCAGGAATCTTATCAGACACAAAGCAAATCTGTTTTACCACTTTTCAAAATAAAGCTGACGAGTTTCAATCCAAATATTTAAAAAATGAAACTTAAGTTCATCATGATACAGAGCTAAAGGATTGTTTTCACTTTTATACTTTCTGCTTTTGATTTTGTTTCACTTACCATAAAATGAACTAATCCATCCATCTAAATTAATTTAAACCAGGAATGCGTTACGTGTTTGTTTTAAAAATTTCTTAAGAACTAAATAAAATGAATATCAAAAATTCTGAACATTTAACAACATAATACGACGTTGGTCTATTTCAGTCATTCATTTGATGCTTCTTCTGCTTTATGACATTTATAGAACAAATAGAAAAACTCTCATTCATTTCAATTCAATTCAAAAATACTTTATTGATCCCAGAGGGAAATTAGGTACATGTGGTCTGAGCTTCAAGATGGAAGAACCAAGAAACAAAATGATTGTGATAATAATATTGATAATAATTATAATAAAATGTGCCTTTCATGACACACAAAAAAACAACATGTATTGGAGAAAAAATAGATTAAAATAAATGAACAGAATAAAAAAACAAAAATCATGCTTTGAGTTAAGAAGGATAAGCAGACCAGGTGACATTGAAGGAAAGTGTGTTGTCGAGGATGACACCCAGACTCTTGGGGGCAGGGTGGGGGGGTGTTAAGACCAGTGATTCCCAAACGGGGGTTTCCAGAGAGCACAGGTGGGACCATAACCTTGTCTGCTCAAAGGTTGCAAAAATATCAACTTCTTGTTTGTTTCTAAAGAAAAAAAAAAGAAATAAAAAAAATCACCCAAACAAACCCATTTGAGCTATTAAAACTCTGTAAAACTCAGTTCGTCTTTGTTTTCTTTTCCAGTTAAAAGTTTGTAAATGTTCAGTTTACTATTATCATTTTAATAAGGAGATAAATGTTGAACAAGAGGTGGGAAGTAACGATGGAGGGTGTGTGTGTGNGGGCTGCAGCCTGGCTTGGAAGTAAGAAAATAGTTTAGGAACCACTGGTTGAGAGGGAGGAGAGTGTGTTCAGATTTGGAAACAGAGTTTTTAGTACCAACAAAGTTCTTACTGTTTAGTGGAGGAAACTGTTAGAAAACCAGTGACTGAGCTCACTGAGACAGGCAGGAGTGTGGAGTTAGAGCTGGTGTAGAGTCCTCTCATCAGTCAGGTCTAGACACAACCTAATATTCACTAAAGGCCATTGAAAACCTGTACCTTATTTGATTTGAATAAACAAACAAAGCACCATTCAAATTCTGGTAGGAAAGGTGGCCACATGTTTTTTTTTTTTCATCTCTGCAATGAAACATAATGATGGCAGTAATACCCTGTGGAATTTTTTTATTTATTTATTTTCTAAACCAGAAATGTGACAATGAGTAAGCAAAGAGAGAAACAGAAAACTCATGACTGTCTTAGCTGAAAACCTTTCTACGAGGCTGAAAATGTCAACTTTTTTTAAAGGAGTTTGCATTTCACCACAACAATGAACAATGCATACCTCCAAGAAAACACAGTGCTTCTGTGCAAAGTGTCTGAATACCGACATAATAGAATATAAACAGTGATATATATATTTGCACCTAAAATGCTCAAATAGAGCTCTAAGAAACATTTATAAGCATGGTGACTAGGTTTCTGCTGAAACGTCATCATTTTTTGACACTAATGCTCGAAACTACACAATAATGAAAACACACTGACATTCCCTGTCAGGACAAAGCATTATGTTTAAATCTTTTACAAAACATGTTCATTTGTATAATTTTAATTATATTAAATGTGTTATGTAGGGAGCTCAAGGCCAGAAAGGGAGACCAGGACCTCCTGGACTACCTGGAAATCCTGCAAGTATCCCCTTTTTGATAAAATAGTGGTTTAACAAAACAAGTAATCAGTTGTTTTCATTGTTACTTGAGAACTATGTTCATGTTGAACATTTATTGTTTTTTCAGGGCTTGAGTGGCTTGGATGGTTTGCTGGGCGTTCAGGGAAATGAAGGTGACCCGGTAAGAACAAAAAAGAAAGATTGCAACATTTCTGTTTAATACAATGGTTACTTGTTTTGTATATATTTCTATTAAACTCCTCTGCTACTCTTTGCAAAGGGTGATGTTGGTTTCGTAGGAGCTCCTGGAACACCTGGTCAATTTGGCCTGACGGTAGGACAAATATAACCCAGTACCTAAGAGAAAAACAAAATGTTATCTAATTTATTTTATTGTTTCATGGTACATATTTTGGTACTTAACTCAATATTTTAGGGAAAACCTGGGCTTCCTGGAACACAAGGAAACACGGGAGCAGCAGGATTCAAGGTGTGTGGATGTGTCCTGAACCGTCATGGTCCAAAACCAATACTATATAATCTTGCTTCTTTTTCTACAACAAAATACAACGCTCCTATGAAAGGTTGTAAACAGTATGAAGCAATATTGTGATGACGTGCTGAAGTGGGAGTGTCAGAAACAGTAGGAGGTTTTTCAAAGAGACAGTGGCCAATTTCAAGGTGTTTAGATCAAATTTATTCTTACATACAGCATTTTCAAAACAACTGAAGGTAACAGTTACTTGATTGTGGTACAGAATTGAACTGTGTACCTGGAAAATACTGTACATATTACCCCCTCCCCCCACCACCAATACCATTTGGTATTATACAACAATACAATCACACATATGTTGGAACTGGGTGTTTTTCTGTTTCTACATTTTCTTAGGGGGAAATAGGACCTAAAGGAGCACATGGGCCTCCAGGACCAACAGGGCCAAAAGTAAACATTTATTTATTTATTTATTTATTTATTTATTTATTTATTTGTAAAGATTGATCAAACACTGGTCATATGAACGTCTTCAGCACCTGTTGTTATGATTTCTTCAGGGTACTCCTGGACCGAGGGGAACAAAAGGTGAATCTGGAAGTGCTGGCATTCAGGTACAGCAGAGTGCAAACTGTTTTCTGACTTTACAAAATGGGTTTTAGCATCAAAAAAATACATATTTTTTATCCATACTTTTTACAGTATTGCTTAAGTGATAAAATCACACATAATTTAAATAAATGCAATCTTTTGTTACATTTTTACTTCAAAAACAGAAAAAAAAACTTAAATTTTCTAGTTGTTTTCTAAGTTTTGTTGATTTCACTTTTTTAATATTTGTTGTAGGGTCTCACAGGTGACACTGGAATACAAGGACCAACCGGTCCACCGGGGTTAAAGGTTAATTAAATTTAAATACAGACTTATTTAGGAGCAACAACAGTTCTTAGTTTAATCTGGATTGATCTAATTTCTAACTCTGCCTTTAGGGAAATCATGGTTTGCAGGGACTAAAAGGCCAAATGGGAGCTAAAGGAAAGCAAGTGGGTTTTTTTGCCTTATTTTACATTTGTTTAAATAAGTATTGAGTTAATATTAAATACTCTGTTTTCTGCAGGGGGTCTCTGGTCCTCCTGGTTTACCTGGACAAAAAGGCCCCCCTGGATCCTCTGTATGTTGCTTCAAAATATCTTTTTATAAAACTTAATAAAGAGTTTGACTTTGTGGTTGAATTAATTTTAATCATTTTTTTCTTACTTCAGGGTCGATTTGGAAAGAAGGTGAGTTTATTTTCAGTCAAGCACAGATTGTTTGTCACATTGATATTTTTTATTCAGTCTGCCTGCAATTTATTCAGTTTAATCAATAAATTTATGAGCTGTCAATAAACTGCAATTACTGTCTTCAATGTGACTTTTAAAGGGGATAAAAGGTGTCCAAGGTGTAAGAGGACCTAAAGGACATAAAGGCAAACGTGGTCCTCCAGTAAGACACTTTTTTATTAACAAAAACAAACACAGAATGAGATTATCATAAAATAAAGGTACTGCTTACCCTGCTAAACAGCCTGAAGTTTTTTTTTAAATCACAGGGAGAACCAGGACCACCTGGAACAACCAGAACCACACAGAAAGGGTCAAAGTCCGAACCAAAAACAGGTCTGAGAAACGAGAAGAGGCGAAAAACCAGAACCAGAGCAAGACGAAGGCTGCAAACCGTACAGAGCTCAGAGCAAACCTCCGTCTTCCTGAAACAGACGGAACAACAAGAAAAAGTTGGTACAAGCTCATAGAAGCTGGTTTTTCTTTGAGTTCAGACATTTTTTTATTTTATTTGAGGAGTGTCGTGACCCCTCCGCAGCAGAACTGGCCTGAAAGTGACGAGGCAGAATCCTTCAGCTCCCCCTCAGGAACCAAAGATGACCCAGGAACCACCTGCCATGAACTGAAACTCACACATCCACATCTGAGCGATGGTGAGTGCCTCTTTAAATCCAGCACCTTTTCATCGGACAACGTATTAGTTACTGATGTTACTGCTCAGATCTGACCCAGCTGAATATTTTAGGTTACTTTTATGTGGATCCTAATCAAGGCTGCCCCTGTGATGCTGTGAAAGTCTTCTGCAACTTCACGGGAGGAGGAACAACCTGCATACATCCTCAGCAGTCACAGGTACAATCACCTGTCAGCTAGCATCTACGTGTCCAACTCAAGGCCCACGGGCCAAATCTGAACCTCGTTAATATTTTATCCGGCCCCAGCTGTAATCCTTTAAATGTTAGATCATGGTTTCTCTTTTTGACACTGGATTTTATGCATTCTTCTCATGACAGCTGGTCAACTTTCAAACCAATAAGATTAAGCTTGGATTTTTTCAGTGATCTTTGATTTTGGTGTGGAAAGAGCAACAGAGAATTGGCTTTGATTCTTTGTTGCTGTGTTCTTTTAAAGTTAAACAATTGGATTTTTTGTGAGGGTTTTCTTTCTTTTACTTGATTTGCTGGATAATTATCAAATGTGTTTATCAAATAGAATAAATTAACATTATTGAATGAATACTTGCAGCATTTGGGCCTTGGCTTGGATCAAGTTTTGACCCACTTGTGTAACTTTTTTTGACTCCACATGGTAAAAGATTGGAAGGATCTTACAGCGACGTGAAAATGACCACATTTTAACTCCACTGTTCTTGTTGTATCTTATTTGTTCATAAAATGTAATGGTAACAGTTTTCATGTTTTTTACACTTTAGCTCATGCATGGACGGCACTTTATGACATGCAATTATTTCAACTATAGTTATTTTCTTTTATGTTTGACTTTTTTACTGATTTGATCTTAATTTTAAGGTTTTTGGTCTTTTTTCCTTTAATTTTTTGCAAAGACTTGTATTTATAGCACTTATTTTAATCAAAACAGTTTTGTTTTGATCATATTTTGTTAATTAGCTTTACTCATTTACTTTTTTCAGATTATACAACATCGGATGTTCCTCTTTGTTTTCCATTTTTGTCATGTCCTAAATACTTGTAACAGTTTCATTCAGACATCGTTGTATTAATCTAAAATGCACATCAATACACTCATGTTTCACTTTTTAAGATTACATTAAGGTGGGAACCAAACAGGATGAAATCAAAGATGTCAGCGCAGTGGTTTTCTCAGCAACATGGTGGCCACAAGGCAAGTCTGACAGAACGCTCATCAGATAATCTGTGGGTTAACTGCATTAGTTTCTCTGACTTGTTCCTTCTTCCTGAGACAGTTTGAGTATGCCAGCGAGGACGTTGTGCAGCTGAGGTTGATGCAGTTTCACAGCCATACGTCCTTCCAGACCTTTACTCTCACCGCTGCCGCAAACCAGTCCAGTTCTGTTTCCGCAGCAGAGCTATCCAGCTGGATTCCTCGCTTACTGGGAGACTCTGGCAGAGAAATTGATTCACGTCTCGTTACAGTTTCCAGAAAAACCTTTGAGGTGAGACTAAAAGAACTTTGATTCTCTCTGTTCTTTTAACTTTATTCAAATCTGATCTAAGTCAAAGATTTATGAGCATGTTGGTCAGGTCGTATCAGATATTTTTTGTTGAAAGAAAGCATTATATTGTTTTTAAGATGGTTGCATTACATAGTTGCTAAAAAGAAAAATGGCCTTCTTCTGTCCTTCAGGTGCTTGTGGATGTGAAGGTGTGTGGCAGCACAGAGTTGCATCGGGGCGACATGAAGTTACTTCCTGTCAGAGATCTGGGATTAGAAATAAACAGCTCACTTGACTTTTTCTCTGAGATCACAGTGGCTTTGGGACCCCTCTGCTTCTTGTGAGCAACAAATTGTGTGCACAAATACTCCTACATTTACTTTGTCATTTTGCTTGCATTTTGTGTGCAATATGTCTGTATATAATTTATACAAAAATAACATTTTGTTATTGTTAATGCATTTTTTAAGTGTGCTTATGTGATGTTTATGTGTGTGTTTTTATTTTAAATACATTTTATTTTGTGCATGTTATGCATTTTCAGATATTGGCTCAATTCATTTTGATTCCTTAGAGTTTTCGTAATAAAAACGTTCTCCCTTAACTTTTATTTTTTTATAGAGCCTTTTGTTTTATTTACTTTTAAAAAGTGATACAGTGATAGGTGACTCCATTTTACAATACACATAGGCAGACATATTCCAGCTTTAATGTCTTAGTGATGTTTGAGAAATCTGAAATGTTAATTTTGGTTAATTTATTGTCTGTATTGAACATACTAGCTAGTATATGATTAGAAAACCTGTTTACTGATCATAAACTGAAAGAAAGCCTAACGTAATATAAATAAAAGGAAATACATACCAACAGCACTCAGTCACCTCAATGTTTATGCACGTTTAATCTTTCATTTTATTTTCAAATTTGTTTTCTTATTTTTATTTAAAAAATCTGAAGATGTTGTTTTTGCTGGTTCGTTAATATTTAAATGTCTCTTTGCTCAAAGATGATGTATAATCT